AAGTGAAATTATTTAAGTGAACAAATTATTTACCTCGTTACTTTTAAGGAAAACTTTCAGCGCTCTAATTTTTTATTTTTTTTTTTTTTTTTTAGCTTTCATTTTTACGTTTACGATGCTTTATGGAAAATATAAAAAGAAATTAAAAAATAAGACTGTTAATAGTGAGATTAAATTTCATAAGAAAAAGGTATCTAATTAATTTAGGTACCTTTCTTATGAAATTTTATCAGAAGAAGTACATAAAATACTATAATTTTATGTACATTTATTACATTTTACTGTGTTATTTGTATTTCCATTCATTTTATTATTAATTTTGATATTTCATTTATGGAAAAATGTCATAACTGAGATTAATATAAAAAATAAGATCATATAAATTAAAGTTTAGCAGTAGTTAAATTTCATAAGATGATACTGTTACTTGTAGGTACCCTTCTCAGTTGAAATTGAAAACTCAAATTAACTTCTCCATACGTGTTTCGCAAAAGTAAAGGGCTTAACAGCGGAGAACAATGCTGAACTCAAATAATGCAACTAAATTGTATTCTGGTTGGTCTTCCGTACTTGATAATTACTGTCCGACTATAAACACAAAAATTACATTTCTTAATTACCATGGCTAATCTGATTGGTCCAAATTATACAATTTTCAAAGCGCTAGACAATGACAATCTCACACGGACATTTTGAAAGGTTGATGTTGCTTTTAACTAATGTTAAAATATTTTTTTAAAATTCAATTTAAAATTTTTTAAAAAATCTTTTTAAAATTAAAGAAATAAGAAATAATTGTATTAAAAATTCAATTTTCATTGAAAAAAATTTTTTGCTTTCAGAAAATATTGTCCATATTCATAAAAACAAATTAAAACAAATAAAAGCATTTGAAACTAAATAATATATTTGTTTTATTGAGTTTTGTATGTTACAATTCACAGCTGATTTTCAGGTACGTTGGCCAAAAAAAAAAAAAAAAAAACATGATTTGCATTCTTCAAAGCCTTGTGCTTTTAACTATTGTAATCACTAAACCGATGGTCTCGAATTTCTAGAGTTTTTCATAAAATTAGTTATGGGGGTGTTAATAAATATAAAAAAAAATATTTCTGCCATGACTTTAATAAAAAAACAAAAACATATTTATAATAATTTTGATCATCTGTGAATAGTTTCTGAAAGTTTCATTAACATCTGACAATTATTTTTATTTTTGCAAGATTTTCCAAATTAATGTGTGTAAATACAAAAAAAACGCGCTAAAAATTATCTGTTATTTACTACCCCTTGTTGCGACAAAGAGAAACAAGGTTTTTTAAATCAAAATTTAGAATATTCTAAAAAGATGGAAAAATTTTTTAAAAATAATTTAAAAAAAATTTAGTCTATCCTCTTCATAAAAAACATAAGCATTTTGACGATAAAATTTTGTTTTCATAAACTTTAGCGTCTTTTTTTCATCAGACTATGCTCTATGTTTTAGCGATTCCGTGGAGTGACTTAGGTTAAAAAAAAAACCCAGGTTGTGTGTGTGTGTGTGTGTGTGTGTGTGTTCCTTTATATATGGGATCGGATTTCTTACATTTTTTCAGCCGATAAAACAAACATCCACTTTTTTTTTTTTGGGTAGTATTTCTTATTGTCTTGCACACTTTTTTTTTTATTTATACATTCAGAATGCTTTAAAAATTCCATTTACAAGACAATTGTTTATAATAAAATTCTATTCACCATTCAATCGGACTCATCAAACGATTGAAAACAATGTTTTTGTTTGAGTTTGACCAATTCGTAAAAAAAAAAAAAAAAAAACTAAGACATGCGTGTCCGTCAACCTTAAACAATAATCTAACGATTTTACTTTTCATTGTACGAATCGAAAAATCGGATAATTCTTTTATCTTTAGGGAAAGATAATTCCATAGTACTTTAGGGCCGTTTTTATAATTCCTTTTGCAATTTGTTACAAGGCAGATCAATAAGGCATTGGTTCCATTTGAAATTAATTCAATATTTAAAAGAAAGTATTAAGAAAAATTTTAAAAATGCCGACGTAAAAATCTGATAGACAAAAAAAAACAATATTTCGAAGATGATAATTATTAAGGAAAGAACACAGTACTTGTAATAAATTAATAAACCCAAATAAAGTTAATATTTTTTGTATTAGAAACAACGAGTGGAAAATATATTCAAATCAAATTCTAATTATGAATCACCACAAGCAAAATATACAATTTTTTACTGTATTCAATAAGTAAAAATCATAAATTGTAAAAATAAAAGATTACAGAGAAAGGATACCTACATTTTTCAACCGATTTCAACAAAACTTCACTTGTTTTTTGGCAGGTAGTGTTTTTATTGTCTTGCACATTTTTTTTAAAAATTTTTACATTCAGAATGCTTTAAAAATCCATTTACAAGACAATTGTTTATAATAAAATTCTATTCACCAATCGATAGACTCATAACGATTGTAAACAATGTTTTTGTTGTGAATTTGGTTTGACCAATTTGTAAAAAAAAAAAAAAAAAAAATTAATTAAGACATGCGTTTCCGTCAACCTTAAACAATAATCTTTGTCAATTTTATTTTTCAGTCTTTATGATGGTCGATACTTGATCTATCTCTTACTGTTACATCCCCGGGCAACGCCGGGTTCTACTGCTAGCATATATATGTATGTACTGTCAGAAAAAAACATCCTAAGAGCATCTACACGATTATTTCTTATGATGTATATTGGATTAGAACTTCTATGTACCGTGTCTGTTTAGGGTGCTGGCAGTCATGACTCTCCCCAAATTTCTGTCTTTTGTAGGTCTTAATAAATTTTGTCTTTTTTATTATTTCTCCTAAATCCTTTTCCGCCATCCATTTACTTAACCTCAGTAGGTAGGCTGCGCTTTGCTTCTTCTGGCTTTCTTTGAATTTGTTGATATGTCTATCAAATTTTATTTCCACAAAATCAAATATTATGTACCCCAAAATTTCTTAGAACAAGATTTCCTTGTGTTAAGTATTAATGAAATTACTCGCAGCTATGAACTAAATAGCAGGATAAGCAGGGCCCTGAAAACATCACATACGCTAATTTTATCCGTTATACGATTATTTTTAAAATTAGCTTCAAAATTAGGTCTTGAAAAGTCGCATGATACGCGAATATATGCGGTAAACTAATAAATAATCTAACATTATATCGAAAAGCTGAACATTATATTAAAATTTATTTATTTTTTAAACATCTCACCCCCAAACAATTAATTCCACTAAGACATATAAAAATTATTTAGAACAAAATTGAAATCATTGAATAAAATGAACTTAGTGAGGGAAAAATTCCTTTCAAATTCTGAATTTGGTTTAGGAAGACAGAAGATGGCGACTTGCATCGAAATTTTTGAAGATTATGGGTAGTAGGGAGTTCCACGGCAATAAGTTTAGTTTTTTTTTTTTTTTTAAGCATTTCACCCCAAGCAAAACAAATAACTAGGACGCAAATAAATTTACAAAAGATTTGGAGCAAGATCAGATAGAACAGCAAAGAGGAAATTTCAACAATGCATAGTTTGATAGGTCAAGGCAACTGGAATATTGATTGACATTACATTTGAATAGTTGGAACATTATAGCTCTTAAATAACTGGAATATAAAGGGAGTTCCACAGGCGAGATTGTGCGAGACATTAAAAGCTATTTTGATAGAAGATAATAACATTTTTCAGTTTCGACAATTGAAAGGGTGATTAAAAGGATTGATCTATCGTAGGGCTAAACTCATGAAGTCTATAGACCAGCGAATGCAGCTTTTTGGAGCATATTGCCATAAAATATTATGTAAAAAGACAGAGAGAGGCGACAGCGCGTTTGTGATATTTGACTGTACAAAAAACGCCAGGGCAGGGAAAATATTGCTTTCTCTACTTTTTTGTAGATATCTCGATATATTTGTGTATCTGGGTATATAGGCAATGTTTAGCATTTAAATTTTTCTCGGTGCGAGGGTGGAGACTTCAGCCACAAACAATTTTTGCTGAAATTGAGAATTAAAGAAAATATTGAATTTGTCCCATTGGCCTTAGTCTATGACAATGCTACTGTTCATTACTGCCATTAATGTTAAAAATAAATAAGAAAATATTTTCCGCTTCCCCCCCGAAAAAAATTACCGAAATTTTTTGTTCCTAAAATTTTTACTTAAATTTATTTGAGTTTATATGCAGAAAAAGACTGTGCGTTTCATTCAATATGAATTATGTCTACCAGCCTGCGCATTCGAGAGACATAATTTAAAATTATCAATGTCATCCGACATGGTTCGAGCTTGCGACCCATTTTTAGGAAAGTTCTGACGAAAGCAAACGTTTCGTGAGTGAAAGAACTCCCATTCGTTTTTATCGAAGATATATTTGCATTAGTAATAATAGTCAATGGAAGTTTACAAACTCACAAAAAATCTCCCCATAGAAAAAAAAAAAAAATTTTTCAGGTGCATTATATATTTCCATCCACGGACCGTAAACTGTATCACAGCTCAACAAAAAAACAAAAAAAATATATGCAAAACAAAGGAAAAGAAAAAATAATTATGCATTTAAAATGAAACAAAAATGTTTAAATATTATAAACAGAAAAAAAAAAAGATTTCTTTATTTTAGGTGAAATTCATGGAGATAAACAAATAAAAATTTAAGAATTTTTAAAACTTTCTGATTTAACCTCCCACCACATCTTATTTTTTTTTTTTTTACAATATTCACCCTGTACAAAGGCTCAAAAGCTTTTCAGGTGAACGTTATAGACTGTCAAACAAGGTTATAATGCCACCAAAATAAGATACCAAAATTTATATATGAGTGAGTGTATGTGTGTGTGTGTGTGTGTGTGTGTGTGTGTGTGTGTAAAGAAATAAAATTTAGAGAATTCTTGATAAAGAACCGAAAACCCAATCTTGAACAAAACAGAAAATAAATTCTATTCTGTTTTGAAGACCATGGAGGAAATTTAATTATATAGGCAAACCTATCTATCTATCTATCTATCTATATCTATCTATCTATCTATCTATCTATCATCAGACTTTACTTTAAATGCACAAATACATATATATCAATACACACACAATTATGATATCTATATATATATGTGTGTGTGTATGTGTATATATTCTATCCATCAACTATATCACAACTATAATTGAAAAGAATTTATCTAAGTTCAATATAAAATTTGTTTCAACTACTTCTAAAACAATGAAAGACTTAAGTAGTACACAATAAAATAATAATTTGCTAAAACCTGAATGAGGAATTTACTATATTAGCTGTAATGAATGCCACAAATAATACATAGAAGAGACCTCAAGGAATTTAAATAAAAGATTATATGAACACCAAAGGTATTTTTTACAAAACAACACACTAAATACATTGCCCACTGTAACGAGTTTGACCATAATTTTGATTTTAAAAATGCTACTGTAGTTAAAAAAGAAAGCAATTTACCGAGACGAAAATGTAGAGAAAGTGCTTTAATCTCAGGATCATCCACGGTGAATTTACGTCCAGGTTTTTTACAACGGTTCACTTTTCTTGGCAGATCTTCTATTATCATGATGTGGGATTTTTAAAATCATTTCACCCCAACCAAGGAAATGAAGTCACTGAGGCACAAGGGGTTATAAGAAAAAATTAAACATTTAAGAAAGAGAACAAGAAAAAGAAATATATATATATATATACACGTCTTAGGGGTAGATTCTCCGACTGACACCAATTCAGCCGAGTTTCGAGGCTAGCTAGAGGCAACCAGATATCTAGCCATATGGATGAGCTGTGATACAGTGAAACGGTCCGTGGATGGCAATATATATGCACCTGAAAAATTATTTCGGTTGAGTTCTATGGGGAGAAAGTGTGAGTTTGTAAACAGTGACTATTATTGCCACTAATGCAATACTCTTCGATAAAACGAATCGAGTTCTTTCACTCACGAAAATATGCTCTTCGTCAGAACTCTCCTAAAAATGGGTCGCAAGCTCGAACCATGTCGGAGAGCACACATTTTAAATTATGTCTCTCGAATGCGCAGGCTGGTAGACATAATTCATATTGTTCATAAAAAATAAATATATAACGTACGACAGCATATATATATATATATATATATATATATATATAACGTACTACACAAATATATATGTATGTGTTTATATATATATATATATATATATATATATATATATATATTTAAGTGAGAAATTATTAGGAGGATTTGAGATAATTATAATTAAGTAATTCATCGAGTCGAGAAGAAACCTCAACAGAATGCAGAAATCACTAGACGGCCGTTTCCTCCTATATTTGCGCATCCACTACCGAGAATTGAACACCTGGACAGTTACGTTATCAGGCAAACGTCATGTCAACTGCACCAACGGGCCTCAAATCTTCCTAATAATTTCTATCACTTGTATATTCTCGCTTGAACCGGCTTCTAATACTGTGGATGGTGCTGTTTGGGGATAGTAGTCGTGTGTAATACGTTATATATATTTGGTGTAGTACGTTATATTGGTGTAGTACGTTATATATATATATATATATATATATATATATTTGCTGTAGTACGTTATATCTATCTATCTATCTATCTATCTATCTATCTATCTATCTATCTATCTGTGTGTGCGTGTGTGTGTGTGTGTGTATATTTAGGCAGCAATTTTTTATTAATGCATGTTTCATTAAATAATATAGACAAGTTTTTAGTTCCTTTCATATTGTTGTTTCGTCCGTTCTTGTTTGATTTATTGAGATTGTTATCTTTGATAATGGCTTGTGTAAGCCGAAAGCTTAGATTGGATTTAAATTTAAGCTTATCAGACAATATGAAAGGGACTTACTTAAAATACTTAAATAGACAAAACTTGTCTATATTATTTAATGAAACATGCATTAATATATATATATATATATATATATATATATATATATATATATATATATAAATGCAAAAAAACCTTTTCCCAGCTCAGAAAAACAGGTAACTATCTTCTCACCTATGCCTATTTTTGATTTGGGTGTATATTCGTCCGTTTTTCTTTCTGTTTTTATTTATTTTTTTGTAGACAGTTTTTTGAGTTGAGACAACGTTAGTACAAACCGGTTTATAGTGGCGATTTAAGAAATGAAACTTTAATGACGAGACCCCAAAATAAGTGAAATTGAATGGAAATAAGTCGTAATGGTAATTTTAATATTAGCCGTTTCCTTATAAAGAAACATTTAGCATTCATTAACCGAGCAGCCAGTACTACTGTCGGTTGAAATTTATAGTCTTCTACTTAAAACGATTTTTTCAGAAAAAAATAGGTTACTCAAGTCCGGTAGCTGTTATTGCTCTTTCCAGTACTGATGGGAGTTTCCTTCCTAACCTTTTATTTGAAGTAGTGTGGAATGTCAACATTTTGATTATGTCATTATTTTCTCTTTGTGCTACATATTCTATCCATTTTAGTTGTTGCTGTTGTTGAAAGTCCTCAAGTGATTTGGTTTGGTTATCTTTAAACCGAGACGATATTTTCATATAATGTATAAGTAATGGTATTTCAGTTACCTTGTTACTGAGTTTCAGTTGTCAGCTACTGTGAGATAAATGAATGACCGAAGCATAATTTAGCTTTAAAAGAGTGACTTTTTACAACCGACCTTCAATCAGCAAGACCAACTTAAATCGGCGGGCAGATAAAGGAAGACATTCAATTCAACACTTAATACATCAGCGAGGACAGGGAAAGAAGACAGTGAAGTAAGACAGGGAAGAAATGCGACACGTGTCTTCGCTGTTAGCTGGTCGGATAGGCGGACGATTAACACTTGGAAATCACTGATCGTCAATAATGAAACGAAAGAAATGTGAATATGAACACATCTAAAGGAGCTAAATGTTCAAGTGTGCCACAGACGTCGTTTTCTACTTAGTATATTTATAACGTCTTAGAATTTGTGATAAGGTCTTCTTCTGTGTACCGTGTCTCTTCAGGTCATCGGCGTTAATGACTCTCCGCGATATCCTTTCCTTTTTAGCTCTTAATAAAATTTTATCTTTTTGCTATTTCTTCTAATCCCTGTTCTGACAAGCTTTTTCACAAGCTCATTAAATTGGTTATGCGATGAATTCTTGTGAGTATCAATTTATCTAAGCCCTGTTTCCTCGTTATATGCTACGGAAATGTCAATTATCCATTTCTGATTCTAAGTATATGTCCATTTTGTTTAAATTAACCCTTAAAAACTTCCTTGTTACTTACACCCTTTCTTTCTCTCTCTCTCTTACACACACACGCACACACACGCGCACACACGTGTGTGTGTCTGTGTGTGAATAAAGACAAAAAGAAAACTTATCCTAACCGACGTGTTTTGCTTTATCAAGGCAAATGATCATCTAAGGGCGAAACGCGTCTTCTAAGATAAGTTTTTATTTTGTCGTTAATCATATTGTTCTTTAACAGATATATTCTTAGTTATATATGAATTTTTACATGATAAAATAATGAACAAATTGGAAGCCTATACGATTCTAACATGTTTCACTTTTATTAAAGGCTTCGTCAGAGACTCAGAGAAAACTTTCTCTCAATCTTTCAATCAATTATAAAATAATTATAAAAGAGCGCGTCTATGCGTGTTTTTTTTTTAAATCAGCATTACAACGAAATGCAGATTTTATCAGAGTTACAGTAAGTTTGTCTTAGTAATTTACCCTTAAGGATGTAGAAGATTGAAAGTACTTGGATAGGAAAAAACTACGGTTCCTTCCTTGATGAATTTTATCTTAACATCAAGAAACTGATTAGAGAACTGGAAAGCATCAGTAAAAAAATAATTATGAATAATATGTATATATTATTCAATTAAACATGTTTGAATGACCCCCATATATATATATATATATATATATATATATATATATATATATATATATATATATGTATCACTATAAATCATTCTATTATAATATATATATATATATGTGTGCTTGCGTGTGTGCCTATAAATGTGTGCAAAAGAATACTTGTATCATGAAATTTAGAGTTGAAATGCACATGCATACAAACTGTAATACCCTTAATATGTATCAGTTTTTCTATGGTTAAACGAACAAGTTGTATAGCTGGGTTATAGTAAATGAATATAGATATCTATACATGCTCAGGTTCCGAAATAAGATTATCGGCAGAAAGTCAGATCCTATATTAATACATGTGTTTATTTTCTTTGGGTGTTGACGCAGGCCTGTACTCGTTGCATGCTGTCTGCAAAATCACGATTCTGCCATATATTATTCCACGCCTTTTGCACCTGTTGATGCAATAAAGCAATATCTGTAGGTGGGCTAAGTAGACGAGTCTGGTGTTGTCTCAACATATCCCATACATAGTCATTGCTAGATAGATTTGATGATCGTCCTTACCAGCGAAGATGTCGAATATATTTCAGTAAATTTATACTTGCACAGGTGGATATTGTTCTGTTGAAACAACACATTGATTTTCCGTTGCAGAAATGGCAGCAGAACAGGTTGAACAATGTTCTTGATAGAGATGACACAATTCCTTTCACAAACACAAACGATGAGCTAGTATTGTAAAGTATGGGACCCTACACAATGACACAATGTGCTAAATTCTTTAGCGAATAGATTTTATAGGATATTATACAACAGGTCTATGTTTCACCATCAAACGATCGACTTACACATGGAATATATACTCATCATAGCACATCACACAACGTCATTCGATTCTACAGTAGATCCTCTTGTAGTACCAGTGAAGACATGCCCAGTAATGCTATCTGATTAGAGACACGCATGCTTGCAGTTTTGCAAGTAAATGATTTTTAACAAGACATGTTGACTCTGCAGTGACATCATTTGCTCTGATCTGTGTTGTGGATTTGATGCAGTTTTGCGTCGATCTTGGCAAGCATCTGTATTATGTGGCCGTCCAGAACCTGGTCTATTTGTGTAGGAATCTTCATTTTAACATTCTTGCCCACACTGAATTACTGCCATACTATATATC